AATTGAAACCAAGTCGCCCCTCTGGTGGCCCAGTGGTAAGTCTGAGGGTTCTTAAAACTCTAAAAAACCGGGTTTCGACACCCATAGTGGGCAGAATACAAATAGCCCATTGTGTAGCTTTGTGCTTAAAACAAGAAACAAATCTTAACCGAATAACGCTATTGCTTGTTATTGCTATAACACGCCTATAGCAGCAAGTATTTCATAGCAACACGACTCGAACCAGAGAACCATTAGACATCCAGTCCGATACGCTAATTACTAGGTCCAAATGTATACCACCGTTTACCAAATAAATAACAATATCAACAAGTATATATAGAAAATAAATATATTAGGTCGTTAACTACTAAGCCTAAATGTATACCACTGCCAACAAGTATCAGAACAAAAACAAAAATAAATTAGTTCGCTAACTACTAAGCCTAAATGTATACCACTGCCAACAAGTATCAGAACAAAAACAAAAATAAATTAGTTCGCTAACTACTAAGCCTAAGTGTATACCAATGCCAAGAAGTACCAGAAAAACAAACACATACTTCCCGGTTAAAATGTATGAGATTCATTAACAGGAAAAGTTCTTTCAGTTTTTGAGCTGTCTATCAAAGATTCACAGTAAACTTTTTTTTTTGTTAGTTTTACTAACCGTAAACGTAAGACTAATTCAGTACACTTCGCATGTTTTTTGTAAGTAAATATAAAGGCTTAAGCTGATAGCACCCCCTCTGCTGGATATAAAGTATAATTCTGTACACAGAAAAGTTACGCTTGAATCTATGAATCTTGTCCTTGAAGTAAGGAAAGAAAAACCTGGCCTCGGATATTGGGACGTAAAGACGACAAAGAGGTTATAAATTATTTATCACATTTTTTTTTAATATATATTTGTTTTTGTTCTTAACTTGTTGGCAGTGACACAACGCAAACAATAACCATTTGGTGTCGCATTATATTTATTTGTAGAGTTATCGGTGACACTGTTTGAACGGCTCAAAATTGAAAGTCGGGAACAGAAATGTTGTTATAACTTTCATAATGAAAAACGCTTAGAATTTATGATAGATAAATAGACAGATAAGCGCGATGTCTTGTAAAATGAAGCAGTGAATATGAAATAAAGGAGAAAATATATCTGTGCAAAAACATCACTTGTAGTACTACTGAAAACATAAATTTCAAATGTGTTTTTCTGGCGTACAGAGACAAAAATGTATGTATGTATACGAGGCAAACACCAATAATTACATACATACAATTACTCGCAATCAGTGGCGTCCAGAGGTTCTATGATGCCCGGGGCCTTGTACCTAAGACCTTGGAGAAGGGCGGAAAGGGTTCTACTATTCGATTCGACTCTTTGCTTGGATGCCCACAAAACGTGTTGGCTTTGTTTGCTTGTTGTTAAGAACAAAGCTCCAGAATGGGCTATCTGTGCTGGGCCCACTACGAGTATTTAAACCTGTTTTTTAGTGTTATAAGTCTTCATATTTACCGCTGAGCCATTGAGGAGCTAACGTGATGTCCATCTATATATAAAACAGTTGTAAGACACTTGTCAAACTTCCTGGGCCCATACCAAGAATCACGTGGAGCGAAACGTGAATATGAGATAAACCCAAGCATATCTTAAAACTTCTCCCAAACACCAACAGCTGTTCGAATATTAACTGGAACAATACGTCAACCCTATCAAACACGAGCACTTACTAAACATCCACAAGCGATTCTCAGATGCATGTCAAATTACGATTACACATATTCAAATAATTATCAAATACATATATCAAACGTCTTTTAGACACATACATAAAACTTTCAGAAGATAGTGAAAAATGATGGGTTTTACGTTAAAAACACCAAACTTTGTATATAAATAAAGATTCACCTACTAATTCAATTTTGTTAGCGTCTGTGTTTAACTGTCATCTGAAGTTTTGTTAGTGTCTGTGTTTAACTGTCATCTGAAGTTTTGTTAGTGTCTGTGTTTAACTGTCATCTGAAGTTTTGTTAGCGTCTGTGTTTAACTGTCATCTGAAATGTTGTTAGTATCTGTGTTTAACTGTCATCTGAAGTTTGGTTAATGTCTGTATTTAACTGTCATCTGAAGTTTTGTTAATGTCTGTATTTAACTGTCATCTGAAGTTTTGTTAATGTCTGTGTTTAACTGTCACTTGAGATCTTATCGTCTGTGTTTAATTGTTTAAATGTCACAATTAATAACATTGAAATAGTAAGGAGAATACTGTTAGTTAAATTAATTCAAAAGTTATTTATTATATATCTGTAGTCAAAGAACGAAAGATGATTTTCACATTTCGTTTGTTTTAGTAAGGTTTTTTTTTCCCCCTCTTTACAACTCTTGTGCTACAATAGAAACATTGATAAATTTGTCTAGGAATACATCTTAGTTTATGAATTTTTTATCTTGGGCTACTTCTGTGTTCTTCTTCATGGCAGATGAAACATTGTCAGTTAGATATGATAATTCACCCCTTCCCCTTCATAGATTTCTACGGACCTTCCCCCCCCCCCCCCGAGTTTCATCCATAAAAAAGCAGCCCTTTCAAAGTGGCAAGGGTTTTGTCACAACTGGTTTTTGTTTTTTTCGTGTTTGTTTGTTGTTTTTTTTTGTTTTTTTTGTTACCTTGCCCAGAGATAACTGCTTATTGCTCTCACCTTTTCTACTCCATCAAGATTCACGTAAAGCCCCGTATACAGCTGTTTAAAAACTTTGGACAACATGTAGCCAAACAACCGAACCGAGCCAAGCTGAAAATTGTGAGTCATTTCATTTAGAATAGTGTTAACATCAGCTTCTACTTCCTGTCGCGTCCGGTTTGACTCGATGGTCACCTGCGAGAAAAAAAAAGGAAAACAAGCAACAAATAAGAAAAAAGATAAATATATAAAAACAAATAAACTATAACTTTTAAACCGTTTAGAAAAGAACTACGATGCCTGAACCGTATTACCAAAATAATTTAACAAATGCTTGGTGTTTTTACAAACACAATTCAACTATTTGATCGACCAAATCCAAATGTTTTAAGCTAGACTGAATCAAGCGACATGTCAGAGTTCTTTCTTTGTGGGGTAAAGAACGAACTTTATGTGAGTTTTTTATTAATGACAAGTTGTTGTTGTTTTTTTATTTATATAAACGAACCACATTCCATGGCAATGAAAGCATTAGGCTTAACAGGGAAAGAAATAGGGCACAAAAAGTAATCAAACTTCAGGGAAATGTGAACAAGAATACATATAAATTAGGCGGGGTAAATTCACGTACAGGAAGTGAGTTTAAGACCAACAGAGGTCGAATAACAGGAAAAAATACAGAATATGAGATAAATGATAGGAAACCCAAGGTCAGTAGAAGGTCATGCTAAAAACATGGAAATTGATAGTACTGTTACGTCTCTTCTTGTTTATTAATTTCCGATAGAAATTCTTTCCGAGGAACTTCATCAATACAAGTCATTTCTTGATTAAACTAGTTTATTCTTTCTGGATACAACTTTTTTG